TTCGAGAGTCAAATGTTCAGTTATAGAGTGTATTTGATAGAATGAGAATTTGGCTTTAGCTGTTGAGTGAAATGAATGAGAATTTAACAGAAGAGAACACTTTTGGTGATAAAAGCTATGAGAGCGATAGTAACAGCAAGGAAAAGAATGAAAATCCTGTTAAAACGAATATTCAGAAAGTACGAGAATGGAGTGTTGCCATCAATCATTCGAAGATCTTTCATAAACGCTTTCAATGAGGAACATTATTAGGAAGTATCAGAAGATAATCTGGTGATAGGAAACGAAAATATTGATGCTGTTATATAATCTGGCCCATATTCCGGGAAACCTCTCTTGTCGCTTACAGTCAAATCAGTTTCTCTTGTTAAGATGCGACAGAAGATGGAACCTTCAATTGTTTCTGAATACTCCACGGTATGCTTGTGGTACATGGGAGGAAAACTTCCCAAAGTCCGGCCCAGTAAATGTTACGGACTCACAAGCCGGCGATGTTTTTCAATGTGATAAAAGCAATTGACAGATTCAATTAGATTTCCTCGTATTGCAATCAGCCTCTAGTGATTCCAGGTCCTCAAACAACTCGGAATATTTCGATATGTTCACATTTGCTCTATGAAATCGATCAGTTTATCTTGTCCACATCAGATTTCTAGGAAGAAATTAGTGGGAATGAATTACTGGTGAGAATTTCGAAATTTATATCTTCTTCAATCATTTATCAATTTTTTTTNTTTTTTTTCAGTTCAAGTACGTTATGATCTGCTAGGTGCTCGGATACGGGAGTGTCAGTATTTCATTCATAAGGATTCGATGTTTTCTTGTAAGCATAAGTAATCACTACGAAAAACAATTAGTATTCAGCTGACACGCATTTGAATGTTTGCTGTTTACACGACAATAATGATACATTTTTATAAAATAAAACAACAACAGTTACAAAGACAATATATCAATCATTATCAGCAGAACTATTTCTGTTTGGAAGTGTAATGTTTCTCGATCAATTCATCAATTTTTGTGATTGCCGGATCGATGAGCTTCTCATACAGTGCCAACGCACCATAGGTTTGTGGCAAATACAGGTAGAGTAAGAAAAGTGCCTGAAAAGTTTTCTTTTTTTAGTTTCACTAAAAGAATGGCTCGGAATTAGGATCCGAAATGATTTTGAGATAGTAGACTTAAACGGTAATCGAAAGTTGAAATCACGGTTGAAGTGATATCAGAATTTCGAGCGATTCTCGGTTAGAGCGAAAATATAATGCATGGACAGGAAAGTCATTCATAAATACTTACGAAAGTGCTCAACTCACCTTCAGCGCCCAATAAATGGGGAAATATTTCAGCAGTGCTTCAACAAAGAAGTCAATTATTGTAAAAGACGCAAACACTGTCCAATAAATCAACCATTGTGTATCGTCATCCTTCTGTCTTGAACGAACTGCCTAAAAGCGATCATTTACAGTTAACTTATTCATTTGTTATTAGTGTCATTAGTAGTATTATTGTTATTATCAGTGAAATCATTGCAATNAAAATTTCGGATATCGAAACGTAGTATATCAAAATATTTCAACAGAACAGCTGACAAAATGGATATTCAACTAATCGCTCGATCCTACTGAATATTCACAACGATTAAAAAATGTTTCATGAAACAGTCAGTCGATAGCAAATATACCACAGCAATTTCAAAAATAAAATAAATTTACCTTAACAGACGCATACGCCGGATACCCGAATCCGATCAGATTGCAAACAACCTCGGCCAATGCACCGAATACCATATAAACTGCCAATAGGCCACATATCACATAGAAAAACTGAAATTTCAAACGCTCACACTCAACATTTTCAACGAAGAAAGCTATTCAGTAAATATTCATTCAAAGGAATTTCGCTCATCCCTAAATGGAACAACCACCATCTTTGTTCTACTGTCAATTACTCGTATACTACTCCTGCGTGTTTGAGATGAGTTTTTACCTTTTTTGAAAAAAAAAGATATGATAAGTAAAAGATATGTGAGTAAATCAAAAATTAGGCGTGTATAACGGTGATAATAATGGATTCGAGTCTCTCAACAACCAGCTGCTGACCTTAACAAGTTGTGATTCTGAATCCTCAGTCATTTTGAAGTCACCATGAAATGTTGCTGATTTCCGAAAAATTATTCAGCCTTATTCATACACACTAAAGCGCATGATAGTGAAACATATTCGTTTGGTATTGGAGCATTGCTAATTTTTCTAGTCCTCTCGCTATCAACTCTAATGTTATTGACGTTATCGAATCAAACCATATATGCAGTTTTTTAATGAAAAATTCTGTATGAACAGCTTTCACTCCAGCTAGATGGTGTACATAAGTAGGTCTTTTGTTTATATTTCCATAGTACATTTATATGATAATAAGGTAGGCAGATGCACACACACACACATTTATTCAATCATGATCAGCACAATCGTATCATACAGATTGTTTGACGTGTATGCTTCTAAACAGCCTATTGTCAACTTCATTGCTTCATGTTCGCTGCTTTAATAGGCATGCATTTAAAGCCGTTATCATGCCATTAAAGCCGTTGACAGTGCCATTTAAAAGCCGTTATCATCAAAGTCATTTAAAGTCAAACTCGAAGGAAGTCAAACTCAATCAATTGCTTCCTGTCGGTTTTTTTCAACACGGTATACGGTATGAATGACTCATAAGTTGTCATGAACAGGCAGAACGATTCTATCATAAGAACCTAGCAATATTTATTGAACAATGGTCCAATTTAGCAGTGAGTAATTAGGGATTCAAATTACCTAATAGCTGGAATTGAAATTTCGATTTTCAAGCAAATCCCCAGAACCTGAACGAATCGCTCACGTATCAAATCAAAACATATTCACTCAAAAAACCAACCGTCTCTCTTTTAACGTTCGTTTTCTTTTCAATTGAATCAATCGTCTGTTCGAGTTTTTGATTCGTATCCTTATCGTGAAGAAGTGAATTGATAACATTTTGAATATCGGCAAATGAATTGATTGAAAAACGAACTTTTTTATCTTGGTGCTGCTGATCAGCCATATTCACAGCAAACTTTTTCCGGGCTTCCAACTGAAAATGAAAAACCAATAAATTGACAAAGGTTCCCACTATTATGAGGTCGTATCTCGTCTTTGCCATGATATTCCGTTTCATAATGCGCTGGAAAAATTCGATAATGCCGTTCATGCGCATTTAAATATACGATCTGAGCGATTAGATGCTTGCTCTGGATGGGATAAAGATATGAAATGTGGGGTGGATGGGAGGAGGGAGACTGATAACAGTTAAACGATTGCAAGGATGAATAATGGTTCGAAAAATAATGGGAGTTAACGAGTGAAAGCTTGCGAGTCATTGGTAGCCTTTGACAACATGAATTCATTCGAATACTTCAATGACATGAAAATTTTGACAATTTATTGATGAGTACAAAGTTACGAAAAAAGATGGAGTAGTGGGTTGTTTTCATTTGGATGCGTCAAGTTGAGATGCACTTTTCGAGAATAATTCCATTTCCTTCTTCACTACTCTCAATCGATTTGGAATTTCAATTTCCACGAACTTAGCGTGAAGAACTGGATTGATAATATCTTCAAAAAATTGATGCATTCAAACGAAATTTTTCCCTTTCCCTGTCATTTTTTTCTATCTTTATGTTCAATTCGTGTGTTCGTTCACATTCGTCAGTTCACGAAGCTGACCAAAAAACCTTAATGATGCTCACGACATTCATAAATGACATAAAATGAATGCTCATATAGTTAATGCTTCTGACCATGATCTGTGATCGCTTATGAAATGGCTTTGTTCGGACATACTTGACAAAACAGGCTACAAATGCGTAAATATATGTTTGAAGGTGATCGATATATTACTTGCATGGAGTTGGTTCACTTCAATCGAATTGTCACAAACAAATTTGCTATGTACCCAGCTAACAACAATTTCTTCGGTGACATTGAAAGGACTCTCTTTTTTTTTTTCTGCAACGAAAGACGAACAAGCGATTGGCGAGTATGAAAAGAACGAAAATTTCATGTTGATAAGAGAGTGAGTTTAACGAATGAGGTAGAGACAAGAGGATGGGTTTATATGCTAGAAAGCAGATGAGAATGTTAAGAAAACGTTGGAAACGGATGATTTTTTCCAAGAGAAACTGAATTCAAGTAAATTTGAAGCAGTAGCTAGGAACTGAAGAGAATAACAGTTAGAGAGAATAAGCTCAGAGGAAATAGGAACACTTCAACGAATTAAAACGATTCAAAGCGTACTACTGGCTCATTAAGTGATCAGTACTCGTTTGATATAGAGTTGGTATTGGCAAGTTGAAAAATTTATGCATGAAAATGAGCATTCAATGTCCTCCACTCTTCTTCCATAGCACAGCATCGTTGGTATTCCAATCAAATACCACGAAAAAAGGCACATACACACAACAGCATACTAACTACTCATGAAATTTTAATTCATTATTCTCATTACTCAATATGAATTCAGTGACTCCTCGTCAAACTTGTAATTCACTACCACCAATTGTGAAAGTTTTCCATTGAAAATGTATCTGAAAGTAAACTGAATGCACGTTAATAAAAAATTTTTGATGTCCCATCGAAAAAGGAGTGTATGTGAAGAAGGTTTTTCAACAACTGGAAACATTTTACGATAGTAACATCTTGAAAACCTTGCTAATGAAGAGTAAATTTCGAATGCACTGACATTTGTACAATTCCATAATATAACAGAAAATGCAAGACAAGAATATTACGTTTTTCTCTTATTGTTAGACAAACATGCTCTTAGTCAATACGGCAAAGCTAACTACGGAATCCGAAGATGAGCCATAAGCAAACATTGATGCTGCCGTACGTTTGGCTGGCTTCATATTGATCATTTTGAGTTAGGCACTGAACAGTTCATTTCATAACCCAAAGGTTTTCTTCGCAAACTTTGCCTATCGATGGCTATGACGATATGGAAACTATAACTGAACTACCGAAAGGAAACCCATAATTTTATGCTCATTTCAATAATTGCATTGGCTTAAACATCACTGTATGTAACCCTGTGATTGAGTTTGAGCAAAACAGCCAAAATTTCCCATTGATGGAAGCAACAACCACTGAGGTGCGCTCATCAGCGCAAATCGCTCGTCACTATCACGTTGACTACTATGAACAACTCAAAAACAAAATAAACCACATTCAATACGAATCATAAACAAATTCTACGTAAAGAGGTATGCACATGCATAAAGCAATAAAAGAATCGAAGGCACCACTCGATATGTTCTGTTTTTATGTGTTTGACTGAATACTTCAACGTTTATTTGTGTGCATGATGCGATGCGCTTTTCGAAATGCATCAATCAGTCTGATGAAACGAACACAAAACATGCATGGATTTAAACGCTTGTTCATGTTCACTTGATATCATATGCACAATTTGTTTGTGCATGCATCTACANACATACGTATGTGTATATTTGTGAGTGTCACATGCATGCATGCAAGCAAAATAGTCACTATCACCAAGCGTTCATGTAAAAGTAAGAATACATCATGTCGTAAACGATATTGAAATATGAATGAGAATGATAACTGTCAAGCAATCAAGCTAAGTCATAGTTGACGACGGATTGAACAGACATTCGATCCGGTCTATCATCATACAAACGAAATGACGACAAACGGGTGGTGGCTATGCGATAATGCAAGAGAATTGGATTGTATATCGGAAGAGCGCGTTAAAATGTGAAAATCAATAGACGAAACGGGTGAATTGTGCATGAAAGCGACAGATGACTGACTGGTTGATGACAACAGAGTCAGTAAACAACTCGGAAGTGTGTCGCGAATTAACGGCAAACAGAATTGAATTGACATTCGTGTGTATGTTTTTATGACAACAATAGTAATACAAAGATATTAATAACAAAAAACGTCAATAGAAATCAATAAAAATGACAAAAACAGTTGCGGGCAAAATTTAGTAAAATGCAGTCCTTAAACAGTCATATGGTGATTTTGTAGAAGATAGCACGCGAAAATGTATTAATTCGTAGTAAAGTAAAACGTATAACTCGCAGAAGTAGCAGTGGAGGATAATGGAGACAAACAGCTGTTAGAGGCTGGTTGTCTGCAAGGAAAACAAGGAGGAGTTTGGATAAAT